GGGGGGGGGGGGGGGGGGCACCGAGCCGGTAGGATCGATGGGGCGGGAAGATGGACCGCAGAAGGGGGGACGCGGTTAAGCATGACCTCTGGGTTCGAAAGTGTACCAACCAGCCCCAAGGGCTCTCCGGGCTCCTTTCAAGCCCTCTCCCATCCTCTCCCTCCCTCCCGCAGGTTCTCACCCCTCCTCCCTCCGACCGCTGCCCGGCCCAGCCCCCGCTCCTCACGGCCCGGCCCATCCTCTTCCCTACCCGGCGCCCCTTCCCGGGCTGGAACCAAGGCTCCCCTCCGGCCCGCGGGACCCAAAACGGCCACGACCCCTCGGGGGCCTGACGAGCCGGCGCGGTCCAGCCCAGGCGCCTTCCCAACTCCTCCGCCCCTGAGCAGATGCAGGCCGCAGCCCCCAGCCCGGCCTCGCCCCCCTGTGTGCCTCGGGCCGGGCCCCTTTCCGCCACCCTTCGCGCTCCGACCCCCGCGCGCCCCTCACTCACCAGGAGCCCGACCTAGGCCCAGCTCCCGAGCCCGGGTCCGGCTGCCGCGGATCCTCCAGCCTCTACCCGCCCCGCCTTCCTGGACTCCCGCCCCGCGCAGGCCGGCCCGGGCTCCTATTGCTCCGTTTCGCCGTCACGCTAAATCCTCTTTGCTCAATTGGATTGTTTGTCTTTCACTCAAGAAAGGGCGGGCCCAGCTGCCGGGGAATAACGCCTGCGGTCCCCGCCCCCCAGTTGAGGCCTCTTAAAGAAACAGGATGCCTTTCCCACGAGGGCCATAGGGTCTGGAGGAACGTGATTTCCTAGCAAACACAAGAGGCAGCTTCCTCCTCCCCGTGCCCAAACGCGTGTGTGTGTGTGTGTGTGTGTGTGTGTGTGTGTGTGTGTGTGTGTGTGTGTGTACGTGTACGGCCTGGGAGTGAAGGAAAAGGCTTCGGTTCCTTGTGACAGATCAGAAGTGTGAGGATGAAGCTGTCCTCCGGTGGCACTCAGCCCTGTGCCCAGCGGGCACATAACGCACACTCAACAGTGAGGATAACTGTGGTTTGGGGAACTGAGTGGGAGGTGACAGTCGTGTCAGAGGCTGTGAGCCGCGGTTGCTCACCACCGAGATGGAGCTAATTATACCGGCACCCTGGGCTGACCGTGGGCGCTGAGTAGAGGCAGAGGGGGACAGCTCAGCTGTACTGTTGGTAACGATCTGTGGGAGGTGGCATTCGTCACTGCACCTGCGGATCGGAACAAGGCCAGTCACCGCGCCAAGGACTCACTCCTGCTATCTCCCATAATGCTCACAGCAACCCGGTGATGTAGATAGTATGCTAATCCCTTGTTACGGATGGGGAAACTGGGGCTCGGAGAGGATAGAAGATCTACAGCTGGTGATGAGCAGAGCAAGTCGCCAATCTATGCCTGTTTGATTCCAAAGTTTCTCCTTTAATCATTTCATCTCTCAGATCGTTACAGCCATCCCTGGAGGTAGGTATTTTGTTGTCTGTTTTACAGATAAACTGCAGAGACTAAATAATGACTCCCATTTATATGGCATTTCACAGTCACCAAAGCAGTTTTACACGTTTCATTTGATTCTCAGAACATCTTGGAATTGAGGATGATTTTTATCAGACCTGTTTTACTGGTGAATAAGGGAGGTTGAGGCTTAGTCATAGCCAACATTGCTAAGGCCCTTGCAGAGGTCAAAAGCAAACTTTCCACAAGGTCCAGATAGTGAACTCCTTTGGCCATACAGTCTATGTCACAACTACTCAACACTCCTGTGGCAGTGTGAAAGCAACCACAGACAATGTATAAACAAATTAGTGTGGCTGTGTTCCAGTAAAACTTTATTTACAAAAGTAGACAGTGTCCTGAGGCTGTAGTTTGCCCACCCCTGGTTTACAGCACTTTGCTGGATACAAAAGCCTTCCCCGCCCCCCTTTTTTTTTTTTTTTTTTTGTCTTTTTGTCTTTTTTCGTGACCGGCAACGGATCGCAACCCTCAGTGTCGCGCCCGTACCGGGCCGGGACCGGCAACGGGATCGCAACCCTCGGTGTTGCACCCGCGCCTCGCTCAGCCAGTGAGCGGCCGGTCTGTATGTGGGATCCGAACCCTCGGCGGGAGCGCTGCCGCGCTTCCCAAGCGGCACACTGTAGCAGTGCGCCACCGGGCCGGCCCCAAGCCTCCCCTTTTTTAAAAAAAAAAAATAGATTATTGCTTTGCAGGATCCTCACAACAACCTTGGTATTATTTATACTATCATTGTTTATTGTTAATGTATCATTATTGTTGATGTTGTTATCATCCTCATCATTTTAAAAGGGAGGAATCTAAGGTTGGCAAGGTTAAAGACATACTTGAGCCCAATTCAGGAAGCAGAATTCAGATTCAGCCTTCCTTACTCCAAATTCTATCCTCTGTCTACCATACTGTGTTATGAGGTTCCATGAGAGTTCCACCTCAGTCTAGCAGAACTCCTTCCTGCCCCATCACAACATGACAGACCATGGTCCATCTGACCTTCCCCTAGCTCCGTGGTTGTTCCTGAATTTCCCCTCCTTAGGAACATTCTCCCCCTCCCCTCTGCCTTCCGCATTTACTCCAGCCCATGAACACCTCTCCCTGCCTGAGCTCCCATGATGCTTATACCCAGGAGCTTTTAATATTACTTAAAATAGAATCTGTTGGAAAATAGGCTCTATGTGGGTAATGATTGTGGTGGAGTTTGCCAGCTGTCCGCCAAAATCTCCCTGCCTTCCATAGTACATGGCTGCCCAGCTAAGCTTCACTTCCCAGCTGTATTTGCAACAAAGAACTGCTGGGTAACTAATTCTTGCCAGTGGAAGCGATGTGTGAAAACTCAGGCAAGGCCATTTAGTCAGTGAGCCTTCCTCTTCCCTACTCTTTCTCTTTCTCACTGGCTGGACCCAGCCTTGACCTTGTGATGATGATGATGTGCTGGGGGATGACAAAGCCACAGCATAGAAGGTGCCAAGGTCCCTGAGTGATCACATGGAGCAGAAAGCTACCTGCTGACCTGTAATACTCACTTCATACTCTGATATAAAAGAGAAATAATCTTTGCTCTTTAAACCACTAACATTTGGGGGGGGGGTTGGGTTCTGTTAGAGCCAACCTTGAACTTGCACAAGCCTGAGTGTAAGAGCCTCCTTAAATTTCATGTCCTTGGTGCCTCACTTGTCTGCCCCTGGTTCTGGCTCTGCTCAATACACATTTATCCAAGGAATGAATCATTCACTTTAGCTTTACAATACTTTGTCTTTTTTTTCCTGATATGCCAGTGCAGGTTCTTTGACTGCAAGTGTCAGGAACCAATTCTAGCTAACTTTAGCAGAAAAGGATTCTGTTGGCAGGATAGTAGCTAATTCACAGAGGTGACAGGAAGCTGGAGAACTAGGTTTAGAAAAAGACAGAGACTGGAGATGCTTTGGGCATCTAGGTAGCCAGCATGAATCAATTTATCCTTTTCTCCTCTTTCTTGATCAGAGCTTTCTTTGATCAGAGTCAAAGTCTCTGGAGCGAGAGTCTGATTGGCTGAGCTCAGTTAACAAATCTGCTGGAGAACCAGGTTTAGAAAAAGACAGAGACTGGAGATGCTTTGGGCATCTAGGTAGCCAACATGAATCAATTTATCCTTTTCTCCTCTTTCTTGATCAGAGCTTTCTTTGATCAGAGTCAAAGTCTCTGGAGCAAGAGTCTGATTGGCTGAACTCAGTTAACAAATCTGCCCTTTAGCTAAGGAGGGCAGGCACCCTGATTTACAGCTCCCCCAAAACTGCATACAAGTGAAGAGTTCCAAATCCCTCCACCTCCACCTTCATCCCCACTGCTACCACTGGACAACTATTTTCATGCTGGGATCAAATAGGAGTAGTACCTGAAGCTGAATGTCATGATTACACAAACCCAACATAGTGTCTGCCACATGGTAGAGCATAGTAGTTAAGACCTTGAATTTTGTAATCACATAGACCTCGCTGCCACTTACCAGCTGTGTATCCTTGGGTAAGTTACTATATCTCTCTGAGCCTTGGTCTCCTCATCTATACAATGGGGAGAATAATACTACCAGACTTAATGTATGATCATGAGAGTTAAATGAAAGACAGTAAATATACAACACTTATCACAGTGCCTGGCACATAATAAGTTCTAAATAAAATGTAAATTTAAAAATGTAAATTAAAAAAAATTAAAAATATAGTTATCCTTTAATAAGTTTTTTTTTTTTTTCAGTGACTGTCAGTGCCTGGCACATAATAAGTTCTAAATAAAATGTAAATTTAAAAATGTAAATTAAAAAAATTTAAAAATATAGTTATCCTTTAATAAGTTTTTTTTTTTTTCAGTGACTGTCTCATACAGGGATCCAAACCCTTGATGTTGGTGTTATAACACCACGCTCTAATCAACTGAGCTTACTGGCCAGCCCTTGATAAGTATTAATTGTATGAGTGAGTTACCTATATTATTTTCAGTTCCCCTAAAATCAGATCTGAAACTGGAGCATATCAAAATGCCCCTCCCAGTTCTGTAATCCATCAGACCTTCCACATTTGTGAAATGTGCCATCCCTTCTGTGGCCTTACTTACCCCCTTACCAAGCTTAGAGCCCTGGTCTTCACTCCAGTCACTCCCTTGTGTTCACCCTCAACTTGCACATTCCCTCCTCTCTCCAATTACTCATCTGGAGAATCCCAACTCTGCTTAAACCCAGCTCACCACCAATTCTATACCTGTGCCCAGCAACTGAATGAGGCTGGAGAAAAATACAAAACTTTTCTGGCTCAAGTGCATCCTCCCCACTGTGGGCAATTCTGCTGTACTATTTTTCCCTGGCCCATCCACTCTTCTTACTTGCCCAGAGGCTTCTGCCTTCAACTCCCCACTTTTAATTGATGAACTTATTTCTTTGGGAAAAAAAGAGAAAGAAATGATAAGGAGAAAACTATCTCATCTTCTCATCTCCAAGTCCTCCAGTCTACCTGCATCAGCACCCATGCGCTCTGGCTTCTCTCCTGTTATCATAAATGCTCCACCCCTGCTGCTATGGAAGGGCAACTCTGTGGGCATACTTAAGACTGCATGTCCTCTCACCTACTCAGAAGTTTTGCTTCTGTAGTTATCCCTTCCTCCCTGCACCGTCAGGGCTTCTGGCATTCCCATCAGCATCCATGCACTCTATAATATGGCCCATCTGCGGAGTGGTGAGGACTGAAGACAATATCTTTACCATGGTGCACAGGACCCTGGATGATCTGGCACTTTACTTCTTAGACTTAATCTATTCCTACTCTCCCCCCCCCTCACTCTGCTCAAATCTCATCGTGGAATTTTCCATTCTTCGAACACAGAGCTTCTTCCCAACTCTGCGCCTTTGCACTGGCTGTTCCCTCTGCTGGAAGGTTCTTCCCCAGGCCATCACGTGGCTGACTTCTTCACTTTATTCAGGCCATGCTCTAATACCTCCTCAGGCAAGTCTTCCCCTACCACTCTAGCTCCAGCCCCTCCACCCTGCCGAGTTCCCTTCACCTGCTCTAATCTT